CAAGTGTACATTCTAATTTTATTTCAATCCTCTCCCATTTTACACCACTTATATATTTCATTTGATTTCCTCCCATTTATTCTCATATAACCTCAAACACGTGTTACACCAGTCTTTTTCACACCATGTTCATTCGTTTCAATTTGATTTGTTCCATATGATAGTTTCTTTCTCGACATATTTTCTTCACATGACAGTAAATAATTTAAGTTTCATTTTGTAATATTTTTTTAAATTTTATTGCTTTTTATATTTAGTCGTGCCTAAAGACGTGTTAATACACGAAATGTACATCGCACCGAATCCCAAATAAATATAATTTCATCAAGTTTCATCTCTAAATTTATTTAACATATCCTTGATGATTATGGAGAAAACACTCGCTACATTCCGTCAATATATTCCCAAAAAACACAAAAGATTCGGAATAAAAATTTACAAACTTTGCGATTCTTTAGGATACACATATGATATGTCGGTTTATTTAGGAAAACAAAGTCAACTGGCAAATGGAGAAATCACGGCAACGAGGAAGGTGTTGGCCATAAGCTGTTTATGGATAATTATTTTTCCTCCCCGTTACTATTTGATGACGAAAAATAAATGCGTGCGGAACAGTCTTGAAGAAATCTTGAAAAAATCTTCGTAACCGCTCGATGAAGAAAACTGCGGTAAAGTTTATTGTAATCAGTGAACATTTCTGCCTATCACACATTAATTTGGAAATTTTCGGGTCCGCGTTTTCTCGCCACAGTTTCATCAAAATGCCTATTCCATATAATTTCGCGGAAAATCGCGGTTTAGTAGGATACGGTTATTTCGAAAACAACCTGGCGGATTTCAACGTGGTTTTTACCCAAATATCTCAAATAATGTCGGTTGTCGGATTCCGTTATCAGTTTTTCAAAATTACAATCTACAATTCCAATCTACATATTTCAAACCAAAGTTCAAAGCGAATCGCTAGAAAATAAATGGGATTTATTAACACCACAACAGAAGATGGAACTGAAAAGTTTTAGACCGTGTTGGAAACATTTTAATCTTCCAACGCAAAATACCCGTGTAGATGGATGTCCACCTCCAATTGGTGATGGTTTTAAGTTTGAAGAAAAGAAATAAAAGCGGTAATAAAAGTCGGGAGCGCGTGATGACCTCGCTCCCGTTATCGTTGATACTATTTATAAAATTTAAAGCTTAGTACACATCGTGAAAAAGTATAAAATAAAGAAAAAACTCTTACTAAGTTGATTTTCTTATTACATATTTTTCATAATACATTAGCTTTAGGAATCCAACTGTTATGAGATTTAAAAATCTAAACCTAACCACTGCACTTACACCTTGTTTCCTTTACGACGTAATATTTTCTCAATTAAATAAATATCTTCGTGTTTCGCCTTTTGTAGTTCTTCTTCATAGAAACATCCAAGTAAAACCTTTCCTGTTATGTCCTCCAGTAAATACGTCTGCGGAGATGTGTTATTTATTTTGGATATCTTGAACAATTCCGTAGACCAGTTTGGAGTATATCCTTTTTCAAATATTGTTTTATATTTACTTATACGAACTACATCACCTAATTGAAATTTCGATTTTTTGCTCGTTATTCTTTTAAGTTTTAACAATTAAATTCTCTCCACACACGTTGACCGTGTAAATATTGCTCGCCACTTATATCCTCTAAAGTTAATTTATCGTCTTTAATAAATAAATAGCAATCGTCATACTAGGTCATCAGAAATGTGCGGTAGACGCGTCTATTCGTTCTCAAAGTCGAGTGGGTTACCAGAGACAAAAAAAAAGGAATACTAATAGAATGCATGTAAAATCCTAACAAAGTTCAAGCTTGTCAAATACAGTTAGTGTAGAAGTAGGGAAATAGTGCATAATAACCTAAAAACAAATAAAATAGGAAAGCATGTTAGAGTAGAAGTAGAAGTAGAATTAGTATTAGTAATAGTTAATGCATGTAAAATTAGCATGTTAGAGTAGAAGTAAAATAGTGTAGAATTAGGAATACTAATAGAAATAATGCATGTAAAATAATAACAAAGTTCAAGCATGTCAAATACAGTTAGTGTAGAAGTAGGGAAATAGTGCATAATAACCTAAAAACAAATAAAATAGGAAAGCATGTTAGAGTAATAACTCATTAATTTTGAATCAATCAAAAATTTAATTCTTTCTTTTTATATTCTTTAAATTGTAAAGGCAGAAATTAACGGCCTAGTATAAACTTTTTTTTAATATTTTTTAGATGCTAGGCCAAAAGTAATTGTAAGTAAATGAAAAAAAAAAAAAAAAACGACCACTGCCCATCAAACCATGAAGAGTCATCGGGGAAAATGGAGGTAGACAGCGTGATTGAAATTTTCCAACGCTCCGAAGAACTATACGGTGTAAAGTATATTCATTACATTGGCGATGGGGACAGCAAAACTTTTAAAGGTTTGTTGGATGTACAACCATACGAAGGAGGGAATATCGTGAAAAAAAATGCATTCATCACGTACAAAAATGCATGGGCACCCGACTCAGGAATATGAAAAAACAACGATAAAGTCTGAGAGAAAAGAGAAAGCTGACTGCAAAATTAATCGATAAATTAACAATTTATTACGGGCTAACAATTAGAAGAAACTCAGATTCTATCGAAAAAATGAGAGAGGCAGTATGGGCCACACTTTACCACAAAATATCCACAAACGAGCAACCACAACATGAAAAATGTCCGTGCGGTGCCGATTCATGGTGTACCTGGCAGTTAGTCAAAGCAGAAAACCAACTGGCGGAATATAAGCATAAATCACCAATGCAACTAGTAATTTTCGATGAGCTTAAACCTATACAATGATCTCAGCAAAACTGAACTACTGAAAACTGAATCGTTGCTTGAGTGGATTTACTCAGAACAGTAACGAAAGTTTTAACGCAACTGTGTGGGCTCAAAAAGACGGAACGGGGCGGGAGCGGTGGTCTTTTCCCATCATCCTCGAATACGCCTCTCAGAACCTCTAGGTAAAGGTACCTCCGTCATACAAGTATTCTTGACTCCAACGAACGCGGTAATTGTTATACTATTTATACAGACAGTAGGCAATCTGTTTTAGCGTTAAGATAACGTCTGCACTAATAATGGACTGGCATCTAGCGTTGGAAGAAGCCGCGAAATACAATCGTGTTACTATCCAATATAAACAAGTAAACAAGCACCTTCACAATATGAAGCTTGCAAACTCTCCTCTCTGTCGAGCCTGTGAACAGGACGACGATACCGCTAGATACATCTTGTGTGATTGCCCCTCTCTAGCAGACCTCAGAATGAGGATCCTCGGGGAGGCATGGCCGACCACAGATGTTATCAGGAACTTACCTCTGAGTAATATCCTGGCCTTCGGTAATTCCCTAGGCTGGTTGATGTAAAAGAGGTTATGTTGGGAGTATGCACAAGGCGTCCAATGGGGCCTAAGTGCGGTGTGCGGGAACGACTGCACTTCCCTTTCCTTACATACATACATACAACTGTATGGGCGATTGCACCTAAAAGTACTTCTAGTGGCAAAAAGGTTTTGGACATTTGCTCAGATATCGCTGTGGGACAGTTTAACGATGGGATGATCACTGTTATGCGCATAATGCAAGCTTTAAGCATTACTATAGGCACTAATTGCTACAATTTTTGTGTAGAACCTGACGAGAAGCGTATAAAGCTGTCCGAACGCTCACTTACCGTGAAGGCAAAAGAAGCTCGATTGAGAAAAAAATCCTCAAAGTAACAAGAAGATGAAAATCGCAATATTGAGGGACAGCTTTATGGACCTGGGATGCTATCCCATATAAGATTGAAGGTACATTCATCATTACTAAAAAATTAAAGAGAAGTTTCCTGAAGTCAACGTTATTTCTGATTCCTTTATTCAACATGTGCGCCGTATAATTAAAAGATTTAGAGAAACGTCATCAGTTTGTAAAGGAAAATCTACTGGCCGGCCCACAGTTCTTACAGAAGATGTCGTTGAAGATGTTCGTGAAAGAATAGAAACAAACCCCAAGAAATCTTTACGATGCTTATCAGCACAAACAAATTTATCTCTTGGTTCATGTCAAAAGGCTTGTAAAAAAGTGTTGGGTATGCATCCATACAAGGTGACTGTGGTTCATCAGCTGCAGTTTCCTGATTTTCCTCGTCGCCTGCAGTACTGTCATTGGTTTAACGAAGTTTTAAATAATGATAACATGTTAGACCTCACATTTTTCAGTGACGAAGCATGGTTTCATTTGAGTGGTTATGTAAATTCACAAAACTGTCGAATATGGGCTGCAGAAAATCCACATGTGTTTGTTAAAAGTCCTTTACATCCTCAAAAAGTTGGTGTTTGGTTGGCAATGTCTAGAAGAAGAATTATTGGCCCTATTTTCTTTGATGAAAACATCAATGCAACAAATTATCGAGAAATAATTCTAAATCAATTTATCGAGCAACTTCACGATGATGAATTGAGGCAGGGTTACTTCCAACAAGATGGAGCAACTACACATACCGCAGGAAGGACATTGGAACATTTGCATCAGTTGTTTGATGACAGGGTAAAGCAGAGATCGATGGCCTCCTCGCTCACCTGACTTGACGCCATTAGATTATTTTATGTTTGGATACTTAAAAACTAAAGTATCCTGTAATCAATTACATAATTTGGATGAATTACGTGAAGCAATTACAGAAGCCGTTCAAGGTATTACTCCAGAAACACTGCAAAATGTGTTCAACAATATGAAACGAAGAGTGACCTTATGTTTAGATCAAAATGGACAACATTTCCAACATTTATTATAACAAAATGTGAAAAAATTCAATATTAGTTAATTTCAAAACATAAATAAATGACTTATTTAATTATATTAAATATATTAATTATTAAATAAATATAAATTGATTTTATACATATTTTTTGTAAGGACCTATAAATATTTGGTAAATAAAAGCGAAATAAAATTTGTTGTCTGTAATAAATTTGTCCGTTATATCCGAAGTCCGCAATAAAAGTTGTTTCATTAAAAACAGTAGGTGGTGCATCCGTGCATAGATGAGACGCTTAAAAATGAGTGAAAATGGTCACATGACCGAGCCTGGCCCGTCCCTAGAGCTTCCTCCCCTCATACGGCAACTCTCCATAGACTTATAAGCAAGAGTTACATTATGGATACTTTAACAAAACAAATTATCAAAAAACAGATCCCAAAATGTACAGGTTGCACGTACACATGCATTCCACAAAGAATTATTCTGAAGCTATGTGGCAATTACTCTTTGTAGAACACTTGTCTACTATCCATAGCACAGCCATAAAAGACTGGTTCTTAACTACATATCACAAATATGAAATCTTTAAGATATCTCAGCAGCATATTGTGGAAATAATATACAAATATATGTTGGTCTGATAATAACCCACATGTAACAGTGGAAAGTCACGTTCAGCATCAATTTTCCTATTTCGTGATTAATTTGATAGACCCACTGAAGGAAGTTCCATTGAATATCAGACAAAATACACCGTGTTAATTCATCATACCCGACGTTATTATTGGAAGTATGCAACCAAATGCGCAAATCGCGTATTGCAACACCAATGCTGTGATATTGGTTGCACACTTGCAATGATGACGTCGGGTACACTAATTATGACTGTATTTACTATCAGTGTAATGGCCCCATTTTATTTGCACAATGATTGACCATCTTAAATCCATGCAATTCGTCCACAAGCTGAAACAAAATGAAAAACATGTAATTAACTAATTAATAACCATTGCAATTCATTAATTTATATGCACTATCTATTTGACACTTCATAATTATTAGGAAAAATTATTATTGTGAATGCTTTCACATGGTGCGTAGTAGGAGAAAATTATAATTGGTTGTTCATTTATGTTAAAAAATTTTTAGTAGTTTCATTATTAATGTTAATTTAAACCAAACTTGTGTGTGTTGGAAGATACACAGAAGATATCTTCTTGTTGGGTAATTTTGAAAGCAAATAACTTTACCATGAAACCATGGAAGAAAACACGATTATGGAGAAAGAATGATCAACCAACTCGACAAAAGTGACAACGGAGATTTTTTACACCTGTATTTGTTGTAATTTAAATATGTCTTTTGAATTGAATTTATTACTGATACATACAATGCGCGCGTAATGTATGGAAACATGAAAACATCTTTTTAACGGCTTCTTCAATTTGAAATTTTTTTTATGTATATAGGATACATAACCTTGCGAATTCAAACTTTCTATCGGCAATGTTGCCAAATTTATAGTTTCTGAGATAACATTATAAAACTTTTTTTTTAAATGAGATACTATATTTTTAAATTTCATAAGAGATATTCTTATTATTTATTCAGTAATATATTTGTATACCTAGGTTTGTAAATGTAATTGCTTAGAAATTACAATTTACAATTTTTGCCCTCAACAAATGAGGGCCATGAAAGAAAAATAAATGATACGAAACTTGTTTTTGCAACAAAAACCACTTTTGACAGACTGCTAGTGTGTATGAAAAGGCCTTTTACAAAATTCGAATGAGATCTACTTTGAGAACTTAAGTTCTAAGAGTAATTAGTTTTGGACGGTTTATTAAAACTAAACTTGTGATAAAAAGATATGGCACATTTAACAGAACGGAGAATGAAATTAGCCAAAGTTCCGTACGCAAGATCCTTAAGGAAGAAAAATGGCATCCTTATAAGTACAATTTGTTCAAGAATTGAACGAAAATGATCCACATCGGAGGATGCAAAAGGATGCGTAAATAAATCATTTTTCTGACGAGGCAACTTTCCTTTTGGTACAGGAAGAAGGGAATGGCCAGCAAGATCTCTCGACTTAACACCACTGGATTATTTCTTATGGGGATATTTAAAAGGTAAAATTTACGTGAATAGGATTGAATTACAGAAGAAATAGCGCTTATGTCATCAGAAACCATTCATTTTGTAAGCAATTACATTTACAAACCTAGGTATACAAATATATCACTGAATAGGTAATAAATGTATCTCTTATAAAGTGTAAAAATATACAGTGTCTCATTAAAAAAAAAAAGGTTTTATAATTTTATCGCAGAAACTATAAATTTAGCAACATCGCTAACAGAAAATTTGAATTCGTAAAGTTATGTAAGTTATACATAATAACTATAATAAGCCATACACATAAATTTTTGTTAAATTGATCAAGCCATTAAAAAGATTTCTTCATGTTTCCGTACATTACGCGCGCACTGTATATTTAGTATTTAAAATAAACTTATAAAGGTATGCAGGGAAAATATGAAATTATTACTAAACATCTAGCGACAAAGAGGTGCAAAAGATTTTTGAATAATGCCGTTTCCTCGTCTAAAATGGAACAGTTTTTTCGCAGTGCTTGCTTTGGCAACACGGAAAAACAACTAGCATTAGCGGAAGGGCTATTTGCTTTCCACAAGATTCCACACATAAACCACAATCAATGTTTCAGATCACTGGATTGTACGTCGCGAATGATCAAAACATTATACGACAAAAAATTTGCATGTGCAAGGACAAAACACGAAGCAATTATTTGTAATGTTTTTTCACCATGTTCGTTTTCCCAATTGCAGAAAGAATTAGAAAAATGCGCATTTATATCCATATATTCTGATGCTTCCAACCATAAAGATTTAAAATTATTTCCCACAATTGTTAGATTTTTTGATCCAGAAACAGGAATTAAAATTAAAATATTAGATTTTGTTTAATTGCCGGGTGAAACTTCACAAATAATTTTTGATTCAATAAGTACTATTTTAATAAGTTGAACAATAAAATTATTGCCTATTGTGCGGATAACACTAACGCAAATTTTGCTGGAAAAGTTAGATCAATAACGTTTTTACGAAACTTAACGAACATTTGAACCAAAAAATTATTGGAGTAGGTTGTGCAGCGCACATTCTACATAATACTATTCAAACAGCATCTAACTTACTTCCAGTTGATATTGAAAATATTATTGCAAAAATTTATTCGTATTTTTATATATTTTTTTTTTATTTTNTTATTTTTTTATTTTTATATTTTTATTTTTATACTGTGCGTGTTGAAAGTTTGAAGGATCTTTGTGAAAGCGCAGAAATCGAATATAAAAGAATTCTTGGTTACAGCAAAACACGATGGTTAGCTCTTTTACCAGCTGTAGAAAATATTTTAAAAATATACGAACCATTAAAATCATACTTTTTATCACAAGATAAATGTCCAAGAATATTGCAGCTCTTTTTTGAAAATAACACATCGCAAATTTGCTTCAGTTCATCCACAACCAAGCTACATTATTTCACAATGCTGTGAAAATTATTAAAGGGGCAAAATTTCAATTACGGAAGTGTCAAATGAAATCTATAATTTAAAAACAAAATTACGAGAAAGAATTGATAACAATTACATTCCTTTAATTATTCGAAAAGACATCACTAGGTTGGAGGAACAAGGTGCCATTAACCTTTCGTTACTCACACGCGGACTCATAGTCCTCACAAAAATAGTTTGTTATATGACAATAAAACCCTTCGGAGTAAACGTTGATAGTTCTATGTACCTGGAGTACACACTATTTAGGACATTTAGCCAATATTTTAGCCGTTTTTGTAACCTTCTTTACTTTGTATTTTAAATTGCGGTGTCCCGCACCAACATATTTTATGGTATGACAATAAAACACTTCGGAGTAAACGTTTAGAGTTCTATGTACCTGGAGTACTCACCATTTAGAAGATTTATCCAATATGTAAGTCGTTTTTATACCCTTCTTTACTTTGTATTTTAAATTGCGGAGTCGGTGAGTCCGCTATAAGCGACGGTGCTGTGAAGTTCAAAAGTGTAATAAGCAATGGCTACATACAAAAAAGAACAAGAACGATTGAGCCGACTTATGGACGTGTGTTTGCAAGAGATGGAAGAGGAAGAAGACGATGAAAACTTAGAAGACTGCGAAGAAGATGACGAAGTAGCGGAAAATCTTGCCGATAAAGAGGAGGCGGAAAATTCTTGTAGTGAACAGGACCATTCTACAAAATGGCAAAAACATGGTTCACGTCGAAATGTAAGAACGCATGCCGAGAATATAATAAAACATTTGCCGGGTCCAAAAGCTTCGCTAAAAGGTACCAAGAATTATTTAGAAATTTGAAAGTATTTTTTCAACATAGTTATAATAAACACCATTACGATTTGCACCAACAAATACATTCAAAAACACCAAGAAAACTATAGTAGAGAAATGGATACGAAACTGAATACTGCTTGATTTAATGAATTATTTTGGTCTAACTCAAATAATACAAACGGCCTCTCGCGTTACAGTTTCCTCTTCAACTTTAATTGATTTAATTTTTATATCTGATCTGAATTTGGTTCTTGATAGTGGCGTTAGTTATTTTAATGCATCTGACCATGACTTGACGTATTGTTTACTAGATGTAAAACATAAAGAGTCTTGTTCCTATTTACGAACCTTCAGATCTTATAATAATTTTGATTACGTTCGCTTTCAATCTGATTTATTTCAACTACCTTTTTTTAATATATTTGATATAGTGGACATAAATGATAAGGCGGATTATCTTAATACTCTATTAATTGAGTTGATGGATCGGCATGTGCCTATAATTACCGCCCGTTTCACTAAACCGCCGGCCCCATGGTTGACTTACACAATTCGAAAAATGCAGCGTCTCAGAGATTCTGCATATGGGTCTTTTAAGAAAAGTAATAGTCAAGCGACATGGGAATATTATAAGTCCTTGCGTAATTTAACAAATCAAGCGATTCGTAGGGAAAAGCGTGCATATTTTGAGTATACTCTTGGGAAATGTGCTTATCATGGTCGAGAAATATAGGACTTTTTAAGGCATGTAAATGTAGCTCCAAAGGGAAAAACAATAATTCACGATTGTTTAAAAGATCCGTAACAAATTAATGATTTTTTTGTAGACTCTATTCCTGCAATGTCAATGAGTCGGGAGTTGTATAACTTTTACATTTCCAATCCAGTTAATAACAATTCATTCAAGTTCCGTGAGGTTAGTGAAGACTGTGTTACAGATTATTGCATCTCTTCGCAAAAACTGTGCGGGCGTTCATGGTCTAAACATTTCATTTATTCAATTGCGTTCCCCACATATAGTACTATATCTTACTCATTTAATAAATGCTTATCTTGCAGAAAGTGTCTTCCCTGCATGTTGGTCAAGCCATTACCAAGAAAGTCAAATGTTACAGTGTTTGGTCACTTAAGACGAATAAGTATTCTGCCTGTTTTGGGAAAGTTGGCTGAAAGAATTATTGAAGCGCAGCTGAAGGAATATGTAAATATTTGCAATATTCTGCCCAGCGTACAATCGGGTATTAGGAAGTGTCATGGATGTGCGACAGCACTGCTCAGCATAGTCGACGATGTGTTGCGGGCATCTGATGAGGGTAAAATGACCTTACTCTGCTTGCTTGATTGTAGTAAGGCCTTCGATACTCTGAATCATTCAGTAATGTTTGCGATTTTGCTTAGCTATCTTCGTGATCAGGTGCAATGTGTTGAGGTTTACAGAGATCGCTTCTGGGACCCCTTCTATACTCTATTTAGATTTCTTTCATAAAATTTTTGTCTCACTCTAATTGTCACTTTTATGCTGATGACACGCAGCTATACATCTCGTTTTTCACCACGAGGTAGACAC